TGAATCCGCGACGGATTTTGAAACGTCAGGCAAATAAACATAGTGTCCCAGCAATCGAGTTGTCTTCTACTTCTCAATCTCCTTGAACGTTATAACTCATCTTTAGAACGTCGTGGCTATCGCGTTAAGCAGGACACTTAGCCTCGCCCTTTGCTAAACATCTTAGCGCGGCGATAGAAAGATTACAGGCTGCGGACGCACATCATGCCGCACTGGAGGCAAAGTCAGTCCTGTTCTACTAGGCAGTCGAACGACCCTACCCAAGTCTGGACAGGATCGGCTCTGATTTCAATCGTGTCCTACTTCCCAGTCTGACTCCCCTCCCCACTTCTTGATCATAGAGACAGCATTTGAAAAAAAGGCCCGACTTTCAGGAATTAGAATACCTAAGCTAGTCAAAAAGCCACGAATAGGTAAGTCATCACTAATCCCCAAGTGTCAGTTGGCAAGCAATAGGCATGCATAGAGCCTGCAGTGAATTCGGCGACAGCAATCGATTATGAATTAAAATATCCAAGAACCTTGAGCGGCTCACCGGAACAGGTTTTCATTCGTGCTGACTAGCACTATAATCTAATCTAGTCACTGCGCCTGCGTCCAGCCTACTGTGAAATACGTGGTGGACATCGTATAAATCGACGGTCGATTTACCTCGTCATGCGTTAGGTCTATGTCTCTTTATACCTAGGGATAACCAAGCCAGGCAGCGCAGTTTGGAAAACTGGGCGGAAATCGGAGGTCCGCCTGCATGAGCACAACCTGGCAGTTCGAAGGCCAGACCTGAACGCACAGCCTGCAACCCATATTGGGAAGACTGGCCATACTTTTGATACTCAAGAAGCGACTATCTTAGGCCGCGGCACCTCAAAAGCGGAACGACTGAAACTTCCGACATGGTATTCAGATGCCAGCTCTGCCAACAAACATCTAGACCTTTTTGTGGTCTATAATGCCCTGCGCTATCATGTGCACAAAGATTAGGACAAGTTCCCACAGAACTTAAGAACTGAGTGAAGATAGCCCCGCGACGAACCCGGTGGAAGAGGAAACATGCTTAAAAGCATCCTCCGCTGAGGTGACGAAACACGAAACCAGCGGTCGTCAAGCTGCACAAACACCGAGCCGGAAGCCACGACAAGGAACGAGGGAAAAATCAACCAGCCCAGGGAAAAAAGTTCGCTTGGTCATTCGGAACCGTGATCGATAGTGACAGTAGGCGCTTGGACCATGGAGAGCCCGTCAAGCTCTCCGAAACGTCAGCATGAATTCAGGCCTGTACCGGCGAGCCACTTAAAGTCCTTAGATTTTCCTTCCAGAACTCTCCCATTTGCGAATCTGGTCTACAATCCAGCGTTCAAAGCAATACGTGCGAAAATCTAGGGAACTCAGGGTCGCACGAGTATTTTTGAACGACACATATGGGGCGTGTAACAGCTCCAAACATTCTGCTGGGAACACTTGCCTCCGCACAGCATGCGTAAGTCGGAGAAAAGCGGCTACCGTAACTCAGACGCTCAGAGAAGATGAACTAATTAGTTCTTCAACTAGACAGAGCCGTGTTTGAAATAAAGTTTCGGGAGAAAGGATATAACCTACAACACTTGTTTTGGACACACTTAATCCGTCCGTCTTCCAAGCATTGTATTAAGTCAGCTGTTTCGAGGGCGCCGAATTGGCAGAGATTCCATATGCAAAACCCCGATAGTCTTAACTGGCGCAAGCACAAACGATTCTCCTAATTGCGGAAAAAACAAAAAAAACGTTTTTTGAAAGGGAAGATAAAACGCATATAGTGTCCGATGAAGATCGTCCGCCTCGCAACGATGGCCAACTTGCGACTTGAACTGATGCGAGAAGTGCACCACATTGACTTTGTCTTGTTCGCTTCATGTTCTACGGACAAAGCTAGGTCAACACAACAACTGGAGATGGGATAAGGTGCAGGACAGACCAGGAAGTTCGGCATTCGCCCCACGCATGAAGCCCGTGTGTAAGCTCTCATCAACGTGGTACCAGGCTCTACTTCTGATAGCCTTTCAGTCACAGAACATAGACCCAGTTTCAGGTGTGATGCCTCAGTTTTTCAAAATATTGAACCCCTTGAGTATACATAAACACAGGAAGTAGTTTTGAAGGAGACACAAAAGCCTCCCCCCAGACAAGTTTCGCAGACTGGGCATAATGTTAGCGGTCAGAATGGCAAAAACCGACGTGCGGTACAGATAGCAGAAGATGCATTCACTTGGAAAAAGGTATATTTCGGTGGATGAATGGAAGGCATGGGTTTAAAACCCTGAGAAGGGAGGACAAATCAAGAAACGAGGGCAAGACAACAACAATGCCTGCAAAATTAAGCTGAGGCTGTCGGAAAGGTCGGAGGGAAAATGTTAGGCTGCCAAGAGGCCAAGTGACTTGTAGTACCACTCGATTATCTGTATGAAGTTGTTCTTCGAAGCAGCCGGCGACTCGATGGGATGGGACTCCGCAGGAAAACCCAGGATTTGGCACATCTCTTCACCTCGAGCTCCCACATTTGCGCGTAACGTACGCACAAATTGAATGCCCTAAGAAGAAGT